GCTAAGAAATGTTTACGTTTTTAAATTGTTGAAGAAAATCAAAGGAGAGTGTTTTGGGTGTGTGAAAGTTATATGAAATTCAAATTTCTGTGTTCATAAATAAAGTTTTATTGAAATACAGCCATGATCATTCATTCAAGTATTGTTTATGGCTGCTTTTATGCTACAACGGAACTGAGTATTTTTGACAGAGATTATATGGCACACAACGCCTAAAATATTTGCTGAGGGAAGGGAAGGGAGGAAGGGAAGGGAAGGGAAGGGAAGGGAAGGGAAGGGAAGGGAAGGGAAGGGAAGGGAAGGGAAGGGAAAGACTGAGAAGATAATGTATTTCCTTTATTTCCCTGACATCCCAATAAGAATGAGAGCAAGTCCTTAATTTAGCAGTGACAAAAGCGAGTCTGGTGCCAGGCTGTTCCGCAAGCTTGTCATACCACAGCGCCCGCAGCGCCGCTGTAAAAGCTGCTGCAGTCAGCCATCAGCTCTGATACAGCTCGTTGCTATACCAAACAGGACACACATGCTCACTTTGCGACAGCGCAGAGCTCATCATAGTGAACCGTCTTGGACAAAGAGCCCCATTTGCCCACTGTGACAGATGAGGATTTGGCACATGAGTGTTCATTAAATCTCCATGTCCCAGTAGACACCCTAGAGCTGAAATCACCCATAAGCAAATTTATAGAAGAATCATTAAGAGCGAATGAGTTATCACTCTGGAAGGACGTTTTAGATAAGTGAGTAACAGCGCTGCTAGGTCCAAATTTGAAGTAATAGCAAACCTGTATCTAAGTAGAACCATTTTGCCAAGAGGATAAATGTGACTCAAACTCTGATGGTGTGACTCTTACAGTAAACATCTGCGTAACTCAAGGGTCCGATCAGGAAGAGAAACATTACTTTGAAGACCTGCAAGGCAATCGCTCTGCTCCTTCCACCGCCAAGCTGGGCTGATCAAGGCCTGTGCTTAGCGTATCTTTCCATCCCTGAGGCTACGGGAAGCAAACCACCATTCACATTTCCTGACACGTGATCTGCAAAGAATCTCTAATCACTCTAATGAAAAGGTAAGGTTTGAAAAAAGTTCAGATGATAGAATCAGAAAACTCTGGCTGCAACCCTGTTTTGCCACATCCTACTTTTGAGATTTCTGGAAAGTTACCTAATATCTCTGGGCCTGCTTCTCCATAAATAAAATGGGGTTGAAAATAGCAGCCTCTTCAATTTGCTGTGGGGATTAAATAAAGTAAGGTAAGCCATCCTCTTAGCTCGGTGCCTGGCACAACTTTGGCAGGTACATGTTTAGTTTTGTTACACTGTTTTGGATATTTTAGGCACCAAAATAAAAATGGATGATCCCTGGGTCAGGCTGCATATTGTATAAATACAGCCCAGTTTCTCTGACTTTTAGAAAATGTCCTTCTGTGACTATCTTAGCAATTTGAACATTTTTAATATTATGAAATAGAAAAGACACAAAATGATTTATATTATTTTAGGTATATGCACAGATATTGTTAAAAACAGAGAAAAAGAAATGTGGAGCATTTATAATTCATCTATTTGGGCTCAATTCTCTGGGTGGCAGGATGTTTCTAGGCTTTTGCTAGGTATGAAGAAAGGAATGAAATGTTGGAGTAACCAGGCACATTCCCTGCCTTCTCAGGAGCTGTGAGTCCCTTCAGACAGGGCCACATTTTCAGTCTGAGGAAGGGGAAGCGTGTGCCTGGGCACTGTGCTTTTGGGGGAGGTGTTGACTTGGGGTTTGTTTGCTTTCTAGCGACCCCCTCCAAACCTCTCTAGTCCAGTTCTTCATAATCCCATGGAGATCCCACCAGCTGCCATCTGCAGACTCAGAGGGAAGTAGAAAGATGGCATTAATCTCAGCAGGGAAGCCTGCATTTCCAAACACAACAGTGCGCCAGCAGACCATCAAAGACCACACGTGTCCTTTTATAGTTGGAAGGAAACTGAAATATCACCAAGTTCAGCACTGTATCCTAAGACAAAAGTGACATCCCTCTCCCAAGACCAATTCGCACAGCTACAAAACCCCTAGATTTAGCACACAACTTTAAACGGTTCGCAGAACTCCCAGGGTCCATCCAGGAATCCCCAGCACGGCTCACGGACCTTAGATGAAGAATTCCCCCAGGAGATCGTTTACTAAGAATGGGAGGAGAAGTAGAAGTTTTTTGATCAGCAAATTTCTCAAAAACTTTTATCAAGGATAAAAATCTGCTGAAAAATTTACTGTATTTTCAGCAACTATTTTTGCTCAGTTAATGTTTTCAGAGATCCAGGCAGATGAGTAATTTACTTCCAGGTAAAATCCATCATTTCCACATACCATGCATTTGTTATTGCACCCAGGGCTTTGTGCTATATTTTTGGTATACTGCGTTTATTCCAGCTGAAAGATATTTCAAACATAACACATTGTGAACACTTGGTAATTTAATAATTGCTTCACGCTGGCAAGATAAACTAAAAACTAAGTTTTGTCTCAAGGATGTGATATAATAACATTCAATCATAGTGTAAAACAAGTTGTTTTTAACAGATTCATAAAGGTAATTTTGCAAGTGCATTTGTTTTAAATTCATTTTTGAAATTTCAAAAATAATGTACTGTTTCAAAAAATTAAATACAGTTTTCTGATATGAAGTTTTCTGTGGGTATTAAAATGGAATGGTTAAAAAACAATACGGAAAATAGTGTAAAAAAAACTATGCCAAATTTTGTATACAGAATGATTACCAAGATAAAATAAAATCATGTGATCAAGAAAAACTAGGAGAAATATTCTAAAAGTTATGACGTGTTATGGAATGCCTAACAGGGAGCTATTTTTGTGTTAGCTTCCATTTTAGCGATTTTCCTGTGACATGATTTTACAACTTTTTTAACAAAACAAGATGTTTTAAAGAATGACCTTGTTGGGCAGTGATTCTAAATTTTCCTCTAGACATTGAGTCCAACAGCAGCTATTAAATAGTGACTCTATGCCAGGCCCTAGAGTAAGTATGTTTAAATGCTTTCCCTCCTTAATTTTCAAAAAGCTCTTTAGATTAAAAAAAGGGGAAGAAAAAAGGTTATTCTTCATTGCAAATGAGAAAACTTAGACTTGAGTGAGTCACAAACCCAGTGAGAGACAGAATGGACAAAAGCGCAGGCCTCTTTTTTCTCTACCCAACTTTTCGAGTCTTTGAAGACAAATGCAACCCTGCCTTGCAGCCAAGGCCCTGGGTTCCCCTAGAGTGGCTGCGTTGCCTATAGAGCGACAGGGACGGCGGCCGGAGAGCGGCAGGCGAGGCTCCTGAGCACGTGGCTCTTAGTGTTGTTTCTTCTAGTGTCACTGACTCCCTGACGATGCTTAAAAACCCGACATCACAGTTACGTAAACAAGATCATACCAAAGCTGACGTTATGGCGATAATGTAATTGTCTCAGGGGGGTCTTTTGTTGTTAGTTTATCTGCTGCTTTCTGTTGCCTGATCTGGGGAGAGGCTGAGAGGAAGCCAAGCCAGGGTGACGGAGTGACTCCGAGGGGCCCGCAAGGTCAAGGGCTTCAGTGTTCAGGCGGGTCGGTGGGGACAAAGAGGTCGACGATCGCGTTAGACCTTTCACGGGGGAATTTGTTTCAAGTCATTTCTAAGGAAAGGTCTGTGTGTTCCTAAGGCTATAGCCACAGTTACATAATGTCATATAAAATGCATAACTTCATTCATAAATCAACATATTTCTGGAATAACTGTGAGGAGCGTGGCGCACCCAGACGGTCCGACTCATTTAAACACTGCCGCGCATCTGGGATGGGCCCTGAGCACGAGAGGGTGTGACCTCAGAAGGGAAAACACCAAAGGGTTTCAGCTGTCACCGCTTGGCTCATCGCTTTTCTCTTGCTGCACATACTTTACAGGAGAGTATTCATGGCGGGGTCTGAGAGAATTTTAAGTGCTTTTGTGCAGAATGGGGCAGACAGCGTCCTGCGGAGCACTGTGCTTCGTGCCTGACTCTTTGTAGGACTAAAAAATATGGGGACACTTAAAATGCCTGACATTCAACAGTAATGCTACCGATGGCTCTCTTGTGCTTCCCGAGGGAGAAAAAAAAAATGAAAAGAAATATACATGATTAAAAGCATCAGGGAGTATTTTACCACAGGATAGCTATTTAATTGAAAACTGTCGCCTATTTTGGTAAATCCTGTGGATAATAACACACCGACTTGTTGAGTTTCATTCATTCTTTTCTCAGAATTGTGACACGCTGAAGCATCATCGTCTGGTTTGAACATACGTACCCATCACTTTTATTTATATTTGAAAATAGTTTGTCTCTTACTACAGTTTCTCCATTTTAATAAATCGCAGAGGTGGATTTCTCAATTATTGCTCTGTAATTTATTCTGGAAGCCCTCATCTTTATCCTTGGGTGCCCATTGGCAATGTTCTGTCTGGCCGTGTTTACTTCTCCATATGTCATCTGCAGTTATCATTTTATCATTGACTTTAGGATGGTTCTGGCGGCAAGATCTTAACTCCTGCTCCCCCTCCTGGCCCCTTATTTACTCTGCAGCTGCAAAGCGGAGCTGTATGTATGTAGCATGTGGGCCAACGGCACATACAGGAATTGGCATCCTGGGTGAAACAAAAAGGCCAAAGCCAAGAGAGCTTTTCGCCAGCATCTGAAGGTTTTCATATAACTTCTGTCTTCCCAGTTCAGGCTCTTCTTATGACTTCATTCAAAGATATTTGGAGAACTGGTATGAAATATGATATAGTAGATATTTTCTGGTTTTATTTCTAGACTGTTTTGCAAATACAGCAAGATTCATGTGATATTTACTAGCTTTTCTAATACATTATTAGTGAAGCACTCAGAGAAACTGTGCACATGTGTCATATGCATCAAATTCTACGTCTCATTAAACAGTCATAGCTCTCTAGAGGACGGTATGGTGCAAATCGTTAAAAGAATAAGTCGTTTCTACTTACCTTAAATAGTCGTGTCTTGATCTTGTTTGTTTGTTTAAATGGAAAAGGTTCTTCAGAATTTGGCCACAGTGCTGTGCAGGTTGCTCAGTCCATCTGCACATACACTTAAGCTCCAGCCAAGCATATCCCAAAGATTTCCCCTGGAACATGTGTCCATCAAGATGTTCTGTCAAATGAGCAAACACAAAAATCAGAGAATTTACTTGGCAAATATGTTGAATGCTATATATTTCTCCTGGAGATTAATAGGAACATTATAAACACAGATATAAAAATTTTTGATATAACATCTATAATGTCCTATAGAACTAGTGTTTAATGAAACACTTGTTGCTTACTGCTGTGTATTATTTTAGGGCCAAAATCAAAATCCTGTTCTTTGCTCTACAAGTAATTAAACCACAGTGACAGTCATCAAGCATATGTCTCCAGGGACTGATGTTTCATTCATTTTTGCATCACTGTACAGTGCCTGGCTTGCACTTTTAGAGTTGGTGATCACCTAATGCTGAATGAGTAAATGGATAAATCCATGAGCCACTGACTAGAGCTTGGACATACATGTTTACTATGAAAAAAGTCTTCAGTTATTGGACTCAACACATTGGACTTTTACAGGTACTTAAAAAAAAGAAAAACAAGTTCACAGGAAAAAAAATTAAACAGCATATCATCACATATTCAAATAATCTAGCACCTCTCCTGTCCATAAGCCACACTAAATTCTAAACTTTGTTTCAGAGAATCTGTGTATCTTCTCCCAAGTGTATGTGTCCTAATTGAGTGCTTGGACCTGTCTTATGTTCAGAGTTGCAAAAGTTATAAAACCTCTGAGTAAGCAGGAACACGGTATAGTTAAGAGAGACCAATGGCTCCATTTATAGATAAAGTAACTAAGTCTCAGATGGCTCACAGGATTTGCCCAATGACACACAGGATTTTCTTGCATATCCAACAATTCCTAGCACTTCAATAAGAAGCTCGATATATTGATTAGTTATATTTATACCAGTACCTTCCTTATAAGCTACTTTTTAGGTAGACCAACCTTTAAAAGTCTATTATCTGAAGACTTAATAGAAAGGAAGCATTTCCTCACTAATTAATTGGGCTATGATGTAACTTACTAAGAAATGATGCACAGCAGGTCTAGGTTGAAAAAGAAAGTCAGGTAAAGTAGAGTGGACGTCCATGAGAGCACAATAGTGGGTTTATAGGTGAAAGTGAGCCTCTCAATGACAGTAGGTTCCTCAGCTCTATGTGACCCCACTTTGTCAGACAAATTCCTCTATGTATTGCTTAAAATGGACACACCTGTCCCTTGAAGTTTAAATTTAAGGAATCAGAAAAAATTAAGATAAAGTGGTTTCAATATTAATATCAAAATGTAAACTTTGCATAAATATATTATGTGAAACAAGAGTAGTTAGTTACTTTGATAAAAGGTAGGATGCATACTGTTTATAAGACAGTTTGAAAACAGTATGTAAGAAAAAATAGAAATATGTAAGAAATGGCCACATTTGTCATAATAGTGATAGCTTTTAACATAAATCTCAATCTTTCAAAAATTTTTAAAGTGATGTAAATATAGAGAATTTTATAAGGGAATCAATAATACTAATACCATGGTTAAATAGTACTTTCTACATGCACAGTAAAAAAATTATTTTGAAATTTTCTTAGAACTTAACCGTAAATCAATTTATATGAATCCTCAGGAAAATCTCAATAAATTCCAAGAACTAGAACTGTGAAGGCCACTTCCTCTGTTACAAAGCAAGAAAGCTTAGAATGAATAGCAAAGTTTTAACCAAAGAGTTATAGAAATAAAAGGGAGACAACTTTGAGGACTTTTCATTTCAGTCTGAGAATGTTAAAGAGGAAAGACTCATGTATTTATAAAGCCAAGGCAGGGAGTTAAAAATAACCTGTTGTCAGAAATATGTATAAGGGAAAGAAAAATCTGAGAACTGAAGTTGTGTTGAGGTTTTGGGTAGAGCAGTAGATGATACTGAAAAAAATTATGTCTCTGGGATAGAAGACAAACAGGGGCAGCATCTTAGCATTAGATGGAGAAAGGTAAAAAAAATATGAATTAGAGAAGAGGTGAGAGCTATGGAGGACAGGTGACACATCCCAATGGTCCTCTCCAGACAGGCTAACAGAGCATCCACTGCCAACTGAAACTTTGACAATGAGAGTACAGTCTCCCTTACAAAAATAAGAAATATCCTACCTACATTGACATTCAAGTTAAAGGGCACAATGCTAAAAGCATTATCAATAAACTCAGGAATAAAATTGAAAAGAAAGCTTTGACTTCAAATCCATATGTAAGAATATTCAGTATGTTTGGAGAATTAAAGGGAAAAACCGATATGTGCTCAAAAAGGAACATGTTAATCTTATGCATGAGAATTTCTCCTGTGTCACAGTCCCATGAATGGGGAACTAGGTATATGAGACCTAAATGCTTCCAGCCCAGTGGCACCTAGGCCTCATTTTATGTACAGATAAAAGAAGGGGGGTTAGCCAGATGATCTTGAATTCCTTTCCAGCCATCATTGCCAATAAATTGGAGACCACAGAGATGCATCTCAACATCCACCCAAAATGAAACATTGGCAATGGCAATGTCATTCCTTCCCTTTCTCTAATAATAGCTGATATTTACTGATTGCTTATGTGCCAGATAATATTCTCATAATTTAATTCTCACAACAATCCTTTGAGTTAAGTATTAGGTCAGTCCCACTTTTTTCGATAAGGAAACTGAGGCCCAAATGAATAATTTAGCAGAGGTCACACAGCAAGAAAGTATCAGAGGCAAGTGAGTAACTTTTGATATGGAGGGCACAGAGGGACCTTGCTCTGAGCCACTAGGCTATTACTGCTGCTCTAAGCTGTTATTTCTTAGGATTTTAAAACATTATCCTGCCTCTGACTATATTACCATGATCCCCACTAGCTCTCTTTGCATGAGCCTTGTGTCTCCTGTAATCCTGATTTTCTGTAGTTTTCTGCTAGAACTATTTACAATCAAGTGGATCTGAGAGCTGCTTCTGCTTGTGTTAATGGTATGGAAAAGTGTATCCATTTTCATTTTTTTTATGGCTTGGCCCTCTCCCATCAGGGCTGGTGTTTGGTTCAGGAAAAAAAATAGAGCTCAGAGATTTCCAAAATGTGTCCTACAGAACATCAAGTAATATAAACTTTGAATTGATATTTTATGGAAAGCATAGAGTTCCATGTTCAATAAAATACATGTAAAATTCTGGATTATATAATATTTAACCAATTTCTTTAATAAGAAATTTCTCAAAACTTGTACTATACTGATGTAGACTAGGCAGGATTTCTCCACAGCAGAAACTTTATTTCTTATCAGAACACTTCGGAAAGTGCTGAGTAATCCAGTTATTCATTTATTCAAATAATAACACCATCACAATCTTCATGAAAATTGATAATACCATCTTTAAATGGAAAGCGTGGATTCTTTGGGTAAAGTAGCAGAGAAGTAAATTGTCAGAGAAATGGAACGACTCTCCCTGTTTCAGTGGAGACAGGAGATGAACTATATATAAACAGCTAAGCGACGTTTTTACTTTTTAAAACAAAGAAGGAGCTGTTTGGGCCACTGAGCTCAGTCCTGTACGCTTGCTTCACCCTTTCTGACACCGGCTGTCTGTGAGGGGCTCGGGGTGGGGACAGGCCACGCGAGCAGCGGCTCCACTATGATGAAGTCCCCGAGGCCGGGCGCGTCTGACTCGGGTGCGGTGGCGGCTTCTTCATTCGCTTCCGAATGTGCGTCTCACCACAGCTAGAAAGCAGCTCTGCTTGTCTGTGCAATCGGGCAAGCTTAGGGGCCTTCCATGTATGTGGGATTGAAATGTTTCTTTCTCCTCTGGAGCATAGAGCTATTTATCATAATACTGGGTGTCTAACCGCACAGAACACATCATTCCTGGCTCGTTCGTAACACTTGAGTAATACCGGTGATCAAACTTCTGAGAGCAATCTGCAGTAGGTCACAGCACTGACAAATCACAGCGGAAAGTGGAAATAAAGGACTCAGAGGCTAAAATTAAAACCTGCACATTTCCCCAAATGGAATATAAACAATAAAAAGAGTACATATGTGTACATAAACACAGGGTGGGAAAAAGTAGGTCATAGTTGTGAGTACAAGAAACACAGAATTTATTCTTGTATTGTATTTATTAATTATTGTATTATTTGCCATATGAACAACTGTAAACCTACTTTTGCCCACCCCTGTATATATATATTATACATATATAGCAGATATTTTATATGTGCATATATTGTATGTGGCATATACATATCTGAAGTCTTCCTTGCCCTCGCCCAGATAGTTAATGACTCCCTGCTTTTCGCTCCCTCAACACTTCCACACACTTACATCAGCAAACTTCGCACAAGGTACCACAGCAGCTCCCTCTGACTGTTTACATGCCTACTGACACTGAATTCCTGATAAGAGAAGCAATGTCTTCTTATCTTGGATCTTCCTACATCCAGCACTGTTCCTGGTGGGCCTCAGTAAATATTCACTTCTAATGTTATTTCATGCATTTGATTTTATATCTGTGGGTCGCAGCACATTGTTTCCAATCCAAACTGCCTCAGTTCTGAAGTTTTTCCATCTCTGCTGTGTGACCTTGGACCAACTACCTGAAGTTTCTGTGCTCTGTTACTTTTACCCTACAAATAGGACTGGTAACACCGACTTCACGGGGTCACGCTAAAGAGTGAATGAGGTGAATCATGGGTGAGACGCAGGACGGTACCTGACATGTAATAAGCTTTGACACACGGGCGAGTCACAGCAGCAGCGGCGTTTCCTTCCAGGCCTGTGCTCACCCGAGCAGCCTGCTCATCTGTAGCCTAGTACCTACTGCGCTGCATTGTCTGTCAGTGTGTCTGTCAGTGTGTCCGTCACCCTCAGATTGCGTCTGAACGCTGATCTAGCCTTAAGGTCACAGATTGTGCCTGTCCGTATATATTTCCCCAGCCCCAAAATTAGTGTTAAATATCTGTTTCTCAATGAATGTTTATTGAACCAACGATCGAATGAATGGCAAATATACATTTTAAAACACTAGGAGACTAGAGAAAAATATTGGGCCCTTTTAACGA